TTGAATTAAAACAATTACACATAAAACAAAAACTTTTAAATAGTTCATTTAATACTAATATTGATACATTTTTTTCAAATTTATATTTCGTTCAAAAATAAAAATATTATCGTTTTCTAAAACCATGTAAAAACGTACTATATCGACAGAAAACATGAATAAAATTAAACATTAAAATCGATATGTATCTCACTGCATTACACGAGTACTCTTTTAGTGATTGCTAAAAGATTTTGTAATGGTTTTCTAATTAAGAAATTGTAAATATGATTTCTTAATGGAAAATTTATATTTTTGGTAATCGTTAATATCAAAATCAATATTGTTTGTTGACGTGCCACTAAACGATATTAGAAGGAAAGTGCTAATGGCACCCGTTAACATGGTGTTGAATGTTTTGGAAATTTGAATCATTTTAACTCATGTTTTATTCATTTTCAAAGAGTTTTGAAGAGTCTGGCGGAGTCAAATTGTATCCAAAAGCTACATTTTCTCCATTCTGGAGAATCTGTCGGAGATGTTCCCAAAGAAAGAAAAAGCATGGGGTGTTTTGGAGGTATTAGTGCTATCTGAAGCATATATGCARGGACCGAGCTTTTTTGGGTCAAAGTCCGAACATTCTAAGTTTGTTCTCGATAAGTAAAAAAAGGTACACGACTTTTAAGATATGAGTAAGGTCGAGCTTTGGAATTGGGAAAAAAACGCCTTAATGCATTTTTTGGGCCGGACATGGCCCAAATTTTCCCYCTCATTAGGCTTTCAGGATTGACTTGGACCTGACTTCGGGCTTACTATTGGCCAAGCTGACAGGGTCGTGATTGATGTTTGGACTTTTTTGTACGTCTCCATTCACAAGAGCGAAACAACAGCCAAACAAGTAGAAAACCCGACATCTCTTCGAAAGAGTGTAGCGGTTTCTTTTGGTGAAAGACCGTGGTTTATGAAAGTGTTGGGGATAAATAATAAGTAAAAACAACATAATGTACGATAAATAACTCGAAAACAAGAAGGGTAGTGTAGAATCTTAACAAATGAGTTGGTGAGCACCATCACTGTCGTGGAAAAAGCATTGTGTATGAACTCTGAAGAATGGATGYCAACAACTGATTTTTATACAATAATAACTTTGGGGTTGTTTGTTTACCTATTAATAGTTATATTAAGAGATAGCAACTGAATCGTTAAGAGACGAGTCTTGTTTGACAAAAAAAACTGACTCTTAACGGTTCTAAAACTCTCTGAATGATTTTTGTATCATGAGTCTCTTTTAACCATTAAGCACCCTAATTTCATTGTAAACAATTACCAAACAATTATACTTCATTTTATACTATATTATGAGACTTTCTTAATCATTCTAACTACTTAATCATTTTGCACCAACCCATCCAACAACTGCCAAACAACCCCTTTGTCGGTAACATCTTCAAGTAATATTTATCATCGGTATTAACATGTCAACCCAACTCAAACCGTAGGGATTTTGGGTTCAGTTGAGATTTTTCAATCCGTAGTTTTTGGGTTGAGTTGTCTAAATGTCACAAATTTTCCAACATAACCCACACGTAACTCGACATAAAGTAAAAGAATGATGGACTTCTTTAAAGTAACATGTAAACACCGGGTTGGAATGAAATGTTTATTTTATCAAATAAGTCGTAACGTTTTTTTTTATAAATAAAAATAGCCGAATGGACAAAAAATAAATGGTAAATTACGTTTTTCGACCCCATGGTTTGTTAAAAGTTGAATTTAATTATGGAGTTTAGAAATTACGGTTTTTATTCTTATGATTTGTAATTCATCGTTATTTTTGTTCTTATAATTTATAATTTATTATGGTTTCGGTCCTTGGTTTACGATTCTTTGTAGTTTTTAGGAATTAGTGTAGGGACGAAAATTGTAATAAATTGTAAACCATATGAATGAAAATTGTAATTTATAAACTACGAGGACGAGAATCGAAATTATTAATAAACCACAAAAACGGAAATGATAATTAATATGTCTTTATTTTACATTAACAAATATACCATCCAAAAGACCATCAAAATACAATGAGATTTGACTTAAATTGTATACCTTATAACGAGATTTTAATTAATGCAATTCATTTATTAATCTTTTGATTTAATAATTGATCAATTTTAAAAGGGCAAATTACATGGAAAAGTAATGTACTTTAACTTGATCTTTATTTGGGTAACATATTTTTWAAATTTCTATTTTGGTACATAAGATGTAAAGTTTTAAACATTTAAGTACTCGGGAAAACGGTTGAAGCATTAACTAGTTACCATGCTGATRTGACKAGTGATGTGGTATCGAACTCGGTATTATTTGTCGAAGCATTAACSGGATACCACATCAYTCGCCACATCAACATGGTAACTGGTTACCAGAGTACTTWAATGTTTAAAAMTTTACATYTTAGGTACCAAAAYGAAAGTTCTGAAAGCACGTTACCCAAAATTAGGGGTGRCAATGGGTCAGGTTGGGTTGGRTTCRGGTTCAACCCATTTATTAMACAKGTTGAAAATCYCAAYCCAACCCAACCCAWYYMATTWAATKRRWTGRGWT